GCAGTAAAAAAAACTTCTCAGCATCATTAAAATTTTGAATACAGGGCGCAGTTATTTCTTTCAGAAGCAATTTTTTTTTGTTTTCTCCCAAAATTATGCTATGAATGCTTATGAAAATACTGGTTTGAATCCCTTCTCTTTTAAAACTTACTCTGATGTATGTTCTGTTATTTACATAGAACTCTTACCTCTTTTGAAATCACAGGAATTCTTCCCTTTATTTATGATGAGATTTTTTTTTTTTTTTTTGGTAAAATACTTAACTGTTATGTGACACCCACTGTCATAATAATTTAGATTGCTATTTGTTAATTGTGTCTGAGTGGGTTAAGTAATAGCTGTTGAAAGGAGATACCCTGCTGACAAAGTGCCTTTGGAAGCCTAAGATTAATAGAAAGAAAAACCTAGTTTTGCTGTTTGGCCACATCTTACATGCATAGATGTCTGTTTTAGGGATATGTTTGGAGAAGACTGTGTGAGTTCAAAAGATGACTCTGTCCTGTGCGTCACGGTTGATGGAAAGACTGCGAACATTTCACTGGATACTCGGGTATGTACAGCAAAGCACCTGCTTTTGTGCAGTTATGTTTAGCAGAGGTGAGTCTCCAGTCTAGTATACAGAGCTGCCTAGAATGTCGTGTCCCCATTTGCTAAGGAAGTGGTTTTGGATTCTGTATAAAAACAACTTAAGCCTATTCACTTTCCATTAATTTGACGTTCTCATCAGTCGATCAGTAGCCAGCCTTCCTGAAATAAATACTCATCCAGCCTGCAAGCTGAGTTTACCAAGTTTGTTAGAGAGTTTTCTGCATTTAAAAAAATATGCTGCCAATGTTTATGTAATCAATATTCACATATTAAAAATATATAATGTATTGCCACTATCCATAGTAGTAATATATTCCACTGGAGTAACTCTTAGGTTCTGACCTTCGAGACCACAACAAATGTTTTAAGTGTTCTACAAACCCAGAAGAAAAGGTTGGTCCCTGCCCAAAATTTGTTACGTATTGGAACAAAACAAGTGAATGTTAATTACCTTAAGAGGATAGTGAGTTACTGTCTTGTGGTTAACACACAATGCTTGCTGCATCATCTTTTTTTCATTTTTTTAATAAACATTTGCTACATTTTGATGTATACATAGCACACAGGAAAATACAGGACTGATGAAAAGAGCTCTTGCAGTAGAGAAAAATGTAACAAGATTGGGAAAAAAATCATACTGCTTAATCAAGAAGTTAGGTTTCATTTTCATATAATATTATACTAATATATGTCATTAGTGTTAAAAGACTTGTGTATGAGTAGAAACCTTAATGGCAACTCAGCTGCAACAGTGTGTATCTTTGTAATACTTACAAACTGTGTTGGCAATGGCAAGCTTGTGTCATTGTGAACCAAGTTTTACAAGAAAGAGCTGTCCTTCTTCATGTGCATATTTATCTGCTTATAAAACTTTAATAACCTTAAAATAAAAAACTGCTTAGTATAGATCTGACTATATGGGGGGACGCATGGATTTATTTTTGCCACATTAACTCTTAACACTATGATCTTACAGTTAACATGCTTTTAACAGTGTTGCTAGATAACATTAAATGCATGTCTTCAGACGCCTTCCCTCCTCCCTAAACCTTTACAGCTGAAAGGAGTCACTTGTTCAGAAGAGTAGCACGTGAATACTGAATTAGAGAAGGTACGATCTTAGAGCCTAGAAAGTCCGCAGGATCAAGAATAGTATTACTGTGCAAATGCTGCCCTTTGTTCTGGAGATAGAGCAGCTGGGGGATTGGGTTGAATGTTGATGAACTTGCATGTTTGGGGTGGGCATCTTCCTCAAGGAAGACATTTTAAATTGTTTTAGTGATAAATTAATCTCTGGGGTTTTATTTTGATGTAAGTATTGTCATATTAGCGTGGGAACATTCATGTGAAGACTCCCTGAGTACAGGTGCCTGTACCTCTGTGATGAATGCGTGTGTTTTATGATATCAACCCAATACAGTGTGGGTGAATTCACAGATAAAATGAAATCTCTGGGACTGAACCTTGTGTGTTTGTATTTGATTTTGAATTAAATGTTATCTACTGAACTTTATGCATTTTACATAGTAGTTTTGGAATAAGTTATTAATCAAACATAGAACTCAAAATGAAGCTTGTTGTTCTGTAGCAGGACTTGCATAAGTCTACCGTGAACTCTTCTACACACTGGCAGACCATTTAAAAACACACAGTGCTGCTCTTGATAATTTTCTTTCCAGTTTGCACGATTACTTTTCCCTTTCCCCTTACAAGCATAATTCACATGCTGAAAAGGAATATGAAGCACTAGTTGTTCTGACATACTTCTTTTTTTGTTCACAGACAGTTGACTGTGAGCCAGGAAGTGAAGATGACGAATCCCTTCGTGAAATGGTGGAACTGGCTGCACAGAGGCTTTATGATGCCCTCAGCCCAGTGCACTGACCTCTGTAGATATCTAGGACACATCAGAAAATTTTTTTAAATGTTCAATTTATTTGGACTATTTTTTTAAGAGTAAATAAATTTGTTTTCTTCAGTAAGTCAAACGCATCAATTCTGTGACTGAAACTGCCGAGTTATTTCAAATAATGGATTAATGTGGTGGGTTACCCTGGCTGGATGCCAGGTACCCACCAAAGCTGCTCTATCACTCTCCTCCTCAGCTGGGCAGAGTTGTTTCTCTCACATATTCTCACTCCTCTCTTCTGAGTGCTACTGCTGTTGCAGATTTTTTTTCTCCCCTTCTTAAATATGTTATCCCAGAGGCGCTGCCACTGTCACTGATGGGCTCAGCCTTGGCCAGCAGCGGCTCCATCGTGAAGCCGGCTGCACTGGCTCTGTTGGACATGGGGGAAGCCTCTGTCCTCTTCTCACAGAAGCCACCCCTGTAGCCTCCCTGCTACCAAAACCCAATACAATGATTAACCTTATAGCAACTGTATTTGTGCATATAAATCATAACAAAATCAGGCAAAGAGTGCATATGTTCTTTTTTTCTTATACGCACATACAAGAAATAAGAAAAAATTCTTAACCTATCTAAATGTAGAATTACAGAAATTAAATTGAGATAGGTTTATATTTTTGAAGATTAACGACCAGTTGGAGGAGAAATTGGGTGTTTTAGGTTTGCATATGCTCAGAGTCAAGCTTGTATATAATGTTGTTCTTGTCAGGGAAGCAATTACCTGCATACTTGTATCTGCTTGAAGTCAAAGGGGGCTTGAACACATTTAAAATGGAATCCATGTTTCCATACTGGGGTTAACTGGAGCTTTAAAACTATGTATGCAGACATTGCCGTTAGCTAGGCTAGACAAAGTCAGTGTGAGAGCCTCACGTGCCAGTGGCTCCTGTCACTATTCCTGTGACAGCCGGCACCCGTCTGTTCCTGCCACGAGCCGGTCCCTGTGCTGGTGCCATGGGCTGCCCGGACCGAGGGGGTGTCGGAAACTGCAGAACGCAGAGAAGAACTTCAGCTACAGCTGCGGTACTGGGAGTTAGGTAGGGGTGCTGCCGAACAGGAAACCATATGAAAGATGTCCCCAGAAAGTGAGTTTCCCACAAAAGAACAGTATCTTTATCTTGTATACACTTTTTCCCCTCTTTTTCTCAGCCGATTGACACCCGATCACAGCAGAATTAGCGTATGATTAGTATTGGCAGAATTAGGGACAGCTTTCCTCCCAGCTGTCCCTCACTAGCTAACTGAACAGAGTGTGAGGTCCTTTAAAGGAGATAATTGCATTTTCTTAAATAGGAAGTCTCTCTTTGGAGCAGACAAAAAAATCTTATTTTTAAAATGATGCAATTTTTTTTAAACGTGCTTTCAGCTAATATGAGGGGGTGGAAGGGGGGCGTTAAAAGTGTCAGTGGCCTCGGTCCCCAGCACCCCCGCCAGTAACGAGCCTTCTAAAGGGAGAAGGCAGCAATAACACACCGGTGGTGCTGGAACTTGAAGCCGGTTTTTAACGCGGATCTAAAGCGCGGCCTCCCCCGACCCGCGG